GCTGATGAGCAGGGTGAATTTGAAGAGGAAGGAGAGGAGGATGAGGCATGAAGTGGAAATGGGTAGAAGTCAAGTGTAGTCTGAGCAGGCAAGTGTTCATTGAGAGGAGAAATCTGTGCAGTTGTGCTGAAGCATGCGTTTCTTAATTTGGTGCTCTCCACTGTTGCTTTTGTCAGCAGTTTTGTATCCTCAACTGTCCAATGTAACAGTAGTTGCAAAAATACTTCAGAGTCTTCTGTTGAAATGGTTAACTTCTCAAACATAAAGGCTTTTTGTGTTCTAAACTGTGTCCTCTGCCTTATTTCTCTCTAGTTCTAGAAAATAACTCTTCTAGTTTTCTGTCTCTTTCACTTTTCATTCTAAGCCTTTACCCTCAGTGAAAGGTTTAAGTCAATAAAACAAGATTTTTCTGGCCGTTAATTCTGCAGAATACGTAAACTGCAGTTACTCAGCTTAAGTGAGTTGTTAATGTATGGGCACTGTAAGAGGGTAGCTAATCCACAGGCACTGTGAGTTCAATGTTAGGCACTCATGTTTAACAGTTATTCTATTGTTACAGAGAAAGCTGCCTTAACTAATAGAAACAGGATGCTCCACTTGACGATATTGCAACTTCTATTTATGGACATACATGGTAGTGAGGTCAGCCAGAAGGTATTGAATGCCACATTACAAACTGTCAAAGCTGATCTGACAAGATAGCTGCAGGCTTCTCAGCTGCCATCTAGAGCACTTCTGATTGAGCTTGTTTCAGGGCATATATGCTGTGAATATGGGTGGCTGGCTGTGGATTTACTCTGTCCTTTGCTGTCCAAGCTCTGTGATCCTTCCTCTCTAAGTAGAAAGAATTCATGCACAGTGTATGGAGGATCTGTGCTCTGAGCACAGTAGTAGTTGAGATGTTAACTTGAATTCTGTTTTGAGGTGTAGAGACTTTCTCCAAGTTGAATGTTTACAAAAAAAAAAAAAAAAAAAAAAAAAAAAAAAAAAAAAAAAAAAA